TTTTTTCTTATGTTTATAGAAATAAAACGCGTTGTTATGTAAAAAGAGAAAAAGCCAAAAATAAAAAAGAATATTGATATTGTATTTTAAATCACTGTAAAGAAATACATTTATCATGCCGGATTTTGTTCTATCGATCGGTCGTTAGTATTTCAGTTGAATTTCAATTATCGACAGCATTATATTGTCATAATTAAAAACACTACAATCTGAAGATATATTGTCTTCATAGTTTACATAACGATTTTTCGTAACAAGTTTTTATTGAATTATCATCAAAAGAACTATCAACAAGCTTTTAGAATATCAATTGATGATTTGATCAACATAATTCGAATAATTGCATAAAACATGAATAAATAACATCTATTAGTTGGGTGATTTTCTTTTGTCAGAAAATTGTATCTGTAAGATTTATTAGGAATTACGTAGTTGGCATAGATACAATTGTTTATCGTTGGAAGTCTTGTATTAGTACCAGAACATTTCCTCATCTGATATATTTGGACGCATTGATAGTGGCTATTGCTTCCAACAACTGACTCACAGCTATTTTTTGTCATTCAATTAGATTTCATAAAACTAATTTGGTATAATAATACAATTCATATCTCTCTCTCTGTTTTGTCTTGTTTTCTATCTAATGCATATTGAAATTGAAGTCTGAAGTGATACCCTCAGTTCTATTGACTGTTGATCGAATATTGTTTCAATGCTACTACAGATTTTAAGTAGCTCGACTCGTTTTTGATCTTTACTGTCAATGTGGCATCATCTAAGTTAAATATTATATAATTAGGGTAGATCTTTTTCGTCGTATAGTTACCACTTTAGTTCTTTATTTTATTCCAAATACATTCAAAATTTACTATTGTCATGTACCAATTCAGTACAATTTTGTACCCCACTGGAATACCGTACCATTAAATTATGACAATTAGACAGAACAAACATTATATTGTAACTCTTCTATACATTAGAGTCTAACTGGAAGATGAGGAGACTTCAAAATAACGTACAAATGAGGTGGACTGAATATTATATATTTTTTCAGTAAAATTAATGCATACGCGAATAAATTTAATCTAATGTATTAGATCAATTTTTAATGAAATCTCTTCAATAACTATATTTCATTCATTGTCCAATCAATTTCGAGATTTAATTTTTATCATGAAAGAAAGACACTCGTAAAGCAACATAATGATATGCATGAAAATCAAAACCCAAATTCATTTAAATATGAAAGTATGATAATAAAAAAAAAGAATTTAGAATGAAGTCCTACGGATCAGAGAATTTATTTTGAGTGATTATTGAGTGCATTGAAAAATCAATAAAAGATAAAGTTTCTTAGCATTTATATTTAAATGATGATTATAATACTATTCTTAATCAGAATACTTCACTTATCAGTGTATATTCTTCTACGGATATCTATTTTTTAAATATAAAATCATTCTAATGATAAAAGTAATGATTTAAGAGCCATACCACGTAAGCCACGACCGACTCTGCTCAATCGATGTCGTCAGATCTTGCTCAATTTAATATATGTTATAGAGGGAAGTATTCTAAGAATTTTGACGAAAGCCGTTTCGAAAAATATTGATCCTTCGATTTTTTTATGAGCATTTTACTAAAAGCCCTAAAAACGGTCGATGCCAAAAACAGGGGTCTTGATGCAATGATATCTCACGAACGGCTCGGCAGATTGAGCTGAAACTTTTTGTAGACGAATATATCAGTGAGTTCTATTAGCCAAAACATTTTTATTGAGAAATATTGAGCCATTAGGATTTTATGAATCACACAAAATACGAAAAAATCCTGATTTTTGGTAACTTTTGTGTTTCATAACTTTTGATTGGAATGACATAGAAGTCTGAAATTTTCAGCATAGATACAGCACTAAAAGACATATGATTCTTGATAATTTCAGCTATGTATGTTGTTCCATTAGGTTAGAAAGGTCCCTTCACAAAGCAGGATTTTCAGGATTTGTTTTCGCCCAAAACATCGATTACTTGTAGAGTTGGTCTTTATAAGTTGAAAGTACTCGCGGTGGACTATAACTCTATAAAAAATTAGTATTCCATCCTTAGAAATGACTGGCACTGGATGACATCTTCCAGGAGTATTTCTAAGATAGATATACTTTTTACACAAGTTTTGAAGTTGGATTTCTCGTCTTATCTATCTGTTAGACCCAAGTAAATTTTGATGGAGAACACGATCACATTCCTCTGTGTTTCAAACTCTGTTTACGTAAACAAAATTAAAGACAATCATATTCACTAGGGTTTTTCAGGTGAAACTATTGTGTTGTAGAGAATATGAAATAAGGGATATGCTCACTATTCGCGTTTGCACGTTTGTGTATTTGACCTCAAACAAGATTGAAGAAAAAATTTGAGGTGGAATAACTATTGATTATGGAAGGGTGTGAGTGTGGGTTTCATCATAGACCTTTTCATGAGAACACCCACACCCACACCCACCCACACCCACACTCACACCCCACACCCCACCCACCCACACCCACACCCCACACCCTTTATGAAAATTCAAGATTGAACTTTCAATTATTTCCTCTCATGTCTATCATAAATTATATATTTATTACAGACAATGGATTCAACGGTTTCTAACTAAAATAACAATATTTATCTCTTTTCTTAATACTTTCAATAGTCTTTTGAATGATAATTGTTTATATTTTAAGAAATAAAAAAAAATATTTCATTGACTTCAATCTTTGTTTTTTTCAGCAAATTCGTATTTGATAATATAAAGAAAAAAAAACTTTTCTAATAGTTTTATTTGAAATAGACACTGCAGAATAGCAGAGTGTAGATTTAATCCATTGGCTGAATGGAATTTGAAATAAAAATATTCTAATCATTAAATATTTTGATCTATGTCATGAAAATCATATAACACAATGATAAATTTCAACAACACCATCCAAATAAGACTTTAGCAGAAAATCAATAGTAGATGCTCACAAAATGGATACTACTAACGAAATAATTGACAAACCAACTATTTATTTGTGACATTATAAAATTCTAAAGACAAATTTTGGATAAAACTAAGATTTTCAAAAAAGTTATTTATTCATTAATCAATCAAGATTTTCGTCATTAACATTTTTTTTTCGTAATCATAGATTTCGCCATGCATAGAAACCCGAAAGAAACTTATAAGTCTTAATTCGATTATTCATGGTGCAGAAAACGACCAAATCCGAGATTTGATCAGACTTTCTCAGAAATCCAATTGATATTTCTACATACACAATGTTATTGATATTGACAGACCTTTTTTAATAAATTACTTTTGTCAAATTTAGCAGAGACTGAATAAGATATTGATCTTGTAGAAATATAACTTTTTTTAGTTATAGAATATCTCATAAAAGAATTATTTAACATTTTGAATAAATCGATCATTGTCAAAAATATAAATGAAACAATATGATTGAGAAAATGAAAACAATTGAATTAGAATATCAATCTTATAAGAGAACATCATCGAATTGTATTTCATATATTTTAATTAATAATTGTTAAGATAAAATTCGTTGTGTTGATATTTAACTGCATATTGAAAGTTAGACGATAAAAACGATATAAAATTAGACAAATAAAAATATAAAACCAGAAGACGTGTTAATATATGTTTTTATAATTTTTGATTGAAAAATAAAATTGTTTCTGTCATTTAAAACAGATTAAATTTAATGTCATCTCAAGTATTCCTTTGCGTACGATTTTTATCAATCCCGATATTCAATTCAAATTAAAAAAATTCTAAATCAATTATTGTTGAATTCATTCTCATATATTAATTTGTTATTCGAATCAGTAAAAATGATATTATTTAGTAATAAATTCAGATCATCAAGAACAAATCAATTGATTAAACTGAATATCTATTCGTTAATATTAAATAAAAATCTTATAAAACTTATATTAAAAAAGATTAAAATAACAAAATAATAAAATCAACTATTTAATAAATATATTTTATTGTTATTTTCACTGAGAAAAAATATTTCCTTGATGATACTCTTTGTCGTATCTGATTTCGTTTTTTTTTGAAAATATTTAAAACAGTGAAAAGTTTTTGTAAATGAAAAGATGAATCAGTCTATATATTGAATTAGCTAAAAAATATTTCAGTTAATTCAGTCTATACAAGCATTGTCTTTGAAATTTTACAATATAAACTCGATCTTTTCTTTATCAATGATATATATATATGCAAAAAATATTCGTCTGATCCCTAAACTATTCTTTTCTATGATATCAGATCATATTATTCGTATATATAATACGTGAAAAAATGAAAAAGAAAAAAGGAATTAGAGAAAGGCTGCCGATAAGGCACGGACATATATCCATCTAGCTGGACGTTTCTTCTCTTTCTTAATTTACCTTATTTTTTTTTTGTATCAAAATCGAAATGGAAGTGTCGAGCTTGGAAGAAGAAAAACAAATAGATTCAATTGAAAATATGTTCAAAGAAACTAATCAACAATGTTTGTCATTTATCTTTTTTTGTTCTGTTAAAAGCTTAATTATTTATTGTTTATTAAATGAATAGATAATAACAATATTGATTAAAAATGTTTACACAAATATAATCATTATAATAAACATTTTTCTATAATTAATATTATATTTAATAAAGATGAACAAGAAAAAGATAAAATTGTTGGTTATGATTGTATTTACCTATATGAAAATATTCATATTAAAATTGAACATTATTTATCAAATCAAACTTGGAAAATAAATAATCAACAATCAAATTATGAAAAATATCAAAATTTAAATATTTTATTAGAAGATCTTAATTATTCTCGATGTATACATCTTGATCAACAAATTCAAATAATAATTAAAAGATTTGATAATTATTTTCATGGTTAATTGGTTTTTTTATTTCATCATCTTTATTATATAATCAGTTAAGAGTATTTGTTCATATTTATATTTAGAATTAAATCAAACAGAACAAAATCAACATAATCATAATAAAACATCAACATTTTTCAAATTGAAACAAGATGACAAAGATCAATCAGAAAATAATAATCATAATCAATTAAATGAATTATCAATTAATAATAATATATCTATAGAATCAACTATTTAACAAGTTGATCAATCACTAACTCATTTAGATTTACCTATTCAAACATCACTATCTCATTCGAATAAAATATTCAAAAATTTAAAAAAAACCAAATCAACTCTATCATATACATCAAGATAGTTCTTCTAGTGCAATTAATAGTGTCAAATATACAAAGTTAGTTTTATTTTATAATATATTATCTCATTTTACTATTCATCGATTTATGATACAATTCTATACATACATAACAAATATAAATAATCGATCATCATACAGACTATCAACAGATTTAATTATCGACCAATAAAATTTCATTCGATTTGAGATATCTATCGTAGACAACATCTTTTTAAACTGACATCTAATCTATTAACAATAATATCTTTCATCATGGACAGTTTCTTACGTTCAATATCCTAAACTCAACTATATATATATTGAAAAATCTATTGATTTTAAATTATTGCGGACAATCATATTTCAGATATTAATTCTATCCAATTTGCATTGATAGTTTTATTTTCTTTTTTGATATAATATCTATAAACGATGTTAGAATATAGTGCAATCAACTTTTTAATCATTTTCGAAATTTATTTTTACTAAAGTAAGCTAATTATCTTTTCAATAGTGCTCTTTCAGTTCATTTTTGAACTTTGATCAATATCAAATGTTCGAACTAGACCTAAATCGAATGTTTGATCACAGTAAAAAAATTCAAATTATTACTGAGAAAACCATCTTCGATAAATTTTATTATTAACCAATGTGATAGTTAAATGATTTGATAGTCACTAAATCAAAATTTCTTAAATGAATATAGTCAAACATAATTGAATTGTCTAGGTATTGGGAATGTTTCCGTCAAATATCTATCTTGATATCGAATATAAGAGGATGAGTTAATATTTTTTCCTTTTTAATCTCTCTCTTTCTCTCTCTCTCATTCATAGTTACTGTAGAATATTCCAATGAAAATATTTCTCGATAATATACGTATATTTCAATCTCAATAGAATTCTTTCAATCTAATCTATAAAAAAAACCTTATAATTAGTTATTCTTGGAATAGAACATTGATATATATATAAAAAAATCTTCATCGATATAAAATCTTAAATAAATAGTAGTCAAAAATGAGAGTGAAAGAAATTAATTCGATCATCTACGAAATAATAATTTGATATAAATTGCATAAAAATTTTTTGGTTTGAAAAGATTTGTTTCTCCATTGAGAACATCTGTTCATCGACGACGTGTTATTCCATCAATACTTTTACGTGTACAGCGAAAGTAATTATTATTTACTTGTTTTGTTTTTTTGTTTTTGTTAATATAGATATATATATATCTATTCGGTTTGTTTTTTCGTCTTTTAATAGAAAAAAACTCTTTGAAAATCTACTTGATACATTTAAATCAAGATCAATAGAATCGATAATATATCAATTAGGTTTAGAATTTTTACGTATTTATGATGGAAAATTTAATTATTCTCAAGGACATACAGTCAACGTTTCTTTTTATTATATTATTATAATAAAATTAAAAAAAAATTCTTGTTATTATTTAGTTTGTTATGTATTATGAAAAGATAACATGGTTTTTAACAATTGAAAATATTAAATGTAATTATTTATTATTAACTAAAATAGATAAATAAATTTATTTATTTTTCTTTTCTTTTCTTTATCTTTAAATTTGTTAAAATGTTCAATGTCAATTGGGTGAATATGGACCACGTTGTATTTTGATACTTAGATATAAAAATTCATTTATTACTGTACAAGTTTAATTAATTTGAAATTAAATTAACTCAATATTAATCTATTCGTGTTTTTTTTGTCAATATTTCTTTTGCTTTTGCATGAATAATGAATAAATCAATTAATATATGTTCGATCTTTCATAGAACTTATTAATGAAAGAGTATTTATAGAGTTTATTATTCTTTTTTATTTAATTATCAACTAAACACATTTTAATACTTAATTATATGAAACAAATAAGACGAGTTTTTTAATACTAACTGAATTTTTCAGATGTTTATTTAGAGTTTGAAAACTCTAAAGTACTCTTCATTAATATAAAACCATAGATTCTTTATTTTGTTTTTTTTTAAACGATGCCAACCATTTAATTCAAATTCCAATAGTGCTTTCAATAGTTAATGAATTTATCTATAAAATATATATCATACTGATATTGCATAGATTAACTATTAGAGAAAGATTTCTCAAAAAAGGAAACATTAGAGTTTTTAGATTTCATAAAACTGTCGGATACAATTTGTTTTGAAAATCTTGGATTAAATTATGAATCATTCGATTGTCTATAAACTTTTCTTAAAAACTAATAAGTATTACAATGCAAGATTGATCGTAGTATTGCACGAAACTTAGCTAAAACAGACGGCATGTTTTCTTTTTCTGTGTTTTTTAATGCTTATAGCTGCTTTTTGAAAAAAGATCTTAGAAACAGCGTTGATTCTTTGTTTTTCTTTTAAATAGATATTATGATTCTATAAGGTTCTACTCTTAAAACTAATACATCGAGTCTTTTGAAAACATGAAAACTATCAAATCGATGACAAACATAAATAATATATTAACTGAAATAAAACTTAACTTTGATATAATATATGTTTTTATCCATTTTTCAATGTTATGATAAATATCATTTCGTTTTAAACAATATCATTCATTTATTCATTTTGTTTTTTCTTTGACAATGAGTAGAGTAAACATAATCTATTATGGATATTTTCTATAATTCGCAATTCTTTAACTATATATATATATTTATTTGTTCAATAGAACATTAAATACTATAGATTTTCTACAGTAAATACTTATCATCATCAGAGGTTTGATAGCGACTTTAATTTATTTATTCTATTATTAGGAATAAAATGACAATAATGCATTGTTAGACGGCAATGTTGAGCGACATATTCAAAGTTTTTTTGCTCAAGCATAAAAAGTGTGGGTATGGGTGTGGGTGTGGGTAGGTGTGGCTGTGGGTGGGTGTGGCTGTGGGTGGGTATCGGTGTGGATGGATTTGGGTGTGGATGGATTTGGGTGTGGGTGGGTGTGGGTGTGTGGTAGAAACAAGCTCTTACATGGCATCCACACTCCACCCACACCACACCCACCCATACCCACACCACACCCACCCACACCCCACACCTACCAACACCCACACGCCACACGCCACACGCCACACCCACCCATACCCACATCCACCCACACCCACACCCACCCACACCCACACCCACCCATACCCACCCACACCCACACCCACCCATACCCACATCCACCCACACCCACATCATTGATAGTTTATTGTATATGTTTGACAAATAAATATTATAGACATGTCGATACTTCATGTGTTCTTAAAATGAATATCACATTTTGTAAATAAAAAAAAGTGAATCTTCTCAGTTTTGATATTGTTTCAAATTCTATGCATGAAGATACACAATGATACTAAGGTAAATACGTGCAATGAATCAATTTTTGTAATCAAACGAGAAGTCTCTATCAAAAGAAACTCGAGTTAATGAATTAACATGTCTTGGATCCTTACATCAAGACGGATCAGATGAAAAACTATTTTTTGGATTCAATGATAAAGTTTTGATTCGAAAAATGATCAATATTAAGTTTCAAAACAATTTCACGAAGAAGTACAATTGAAGAATCATTTTCCAGTTCTTCATACAAGAAATTATTCACTACGTGAAAATAAAAGTTTCCGAAATTTTTTTACAAAAGAGAAAAAAACACTAATCAATGATGATTACTTTCTATGGTATCATCTAATAAGTTAGAAAATTTTCTTTTTCTTTTGAAATTTCAAAAGGAAAACAAAGTTAGATCACTCATGCCATTGTACGTTTCCTTTTACTGAATTTCAATTTATTTATACTTTTTTATATAATAGAAAAGTCTAATCTTCTCACAAAGTAATTCTTTTGAAAGTTCTTATTATCAACTAATAAAAGATGTGAAACATTAACTATTGGACCTATTTCCAGTAGACATTCTAAACATAAAATACTACAAAATGAGCAGAAATAAAGTCAAAAACAATAAATATCATCAATATTGCAAGAATATTTTATATTTCTAAGATTTGAACAAAGAGAATAATAAAAATCTATCCTTCCACTAAAAATGAAGTATCAAGGGATGTGCAGTTTCGGTGAAAACTGTGAAATACTAACAGTGATGTCACTGCATTGAGCGCCCTGACTGCAGTGACACACTGACATTGATGTCCATTGAACCAGTGAACAAAGTGACACTGACTGCACCGATGTCAGGTTTTACTGACATACTGATGTTCACTGAAGTATCAAGTCATCGACTCTATGGAAGTATGGGCCGCTCGTCACTTTATTTATCATTATAAACGACATTGGCGAAATAACCATATCGATACCACCGAAAAACAGGATCCATTTAGGCCATCTACAATTTTGAATAATAAGGTCAATTTCGACGAAATACAGGGATGGATATGCGTGGGTGTGGAGATCAACCTATTTCTACTTAACGCTCGTACGCTCTCACCACATCTACATCTACCCAAACCAAAACCAACACCGACATACCCACATACCCATACCCTAACTAGTTAATAATAAATAAGAATTTCAGAAAGCTTGACCAAAAGTAACCGAGGGTAGGCAGGCCGAGTTCGAGGTCAGTTTCTATTAATTATTTATTAATTAGGTCTCACAAGTCAGACCTTCCATTGTTCAGAAAGCTGAACTCAAATGTCCAGATGAATTTGACAGAAAAACATAGCGAAAATATGCTCATTTCACTTTTACAAATGGTGTAAATAAATAATTTGGTGCGAGTTCAAAAACAGCCTTTCTATGAGAAAGAGCT